GGACACGTCCCCCCCGTCCCCCCCAGTTCCGACGCCCTTGCTCCAAGGCAAGTATCTCACAAATAACGTGTGCAGTCTGGTAGCAAAGTATCAGTGGCCTGGCATTTGCCCATGGCTCAGATGATAGAAACCGTTAGTTAAGGGATCTCTGGCAGGACTTTCTAACTTGTTTTTTCCTCCAAAGAAACAGCCAATGGTTTGTCTTTATACATTCACAGATTAGACTGGGCCTCCTGAGTGATGCTCCTTTGTAGGTAGCACAGCAGACAACTCTACCACACAGAGACAAACTGCAGCAGAGGCTGGGTTTCATAAGAGCTGTGGAGGAGAAGCAGTTCCTGTCAGCTGCAGTGAAATACTGGAAATGCTGAGCAGGGCGGGTGGATGTTACTGTAAGGTTTTGATGCTTTTGACATTCACTTTCATGAGAAAAACTGCAGTGCACACACAGAGCTGCAGGAGGAAGGGTGGTTTCCATAAAGGTTTGACATCAGTCCAGAGTATTTACATAGAAAGAGCTAGCATGCAAGCTTTCAGACCTCGTTCACACCTGCGCTAAGGTGGTGCATTTGAGGTGATCAGCACTTAGACAAAGAAAAACTTTAGATGGAAAGATAGATTGGTCAGAGAATCTGATCCAAACACACTTTGGAGGAGTTTTGTCACAATAAAGCAGTGTAAATTTGCCTGAATTATACACATTGGAGCTACACTAATAGAACATTTTGTATGTATTGATCTGCTTTTGTCTGTGACTATTTTACTGGAGTCTGTATATGCGTGTGTGGTAGCAGAATTCTTTGAGGTCAAGTTCTGATTTCAACTGAAAAAAAGGACCAAGAGGCCATGCTCCTGGTAATAGCGGAGCTAAAGAATGAGCTGCAGAAATCTGAAGCCATGAACACCCATGAACCACACACAAGAGGCAATCGTAATATTATTATTATAGTGTTGCATTTATTTGTACCCACCGAAAGTGACAAAATTAGTTGTGTGAAGAAGAACAGAAAACTTAAGAAAGGAGTTCAAACCATGCTCATGTTCTCACCACCACATGCCTGGCCAATCACTGTGTAAAGTGGCCGTGATTGTTGGATTGTCTGATCTGTGAATGTAATTGTGGACAGGAAACAACACAGACAGACATGATGACTCTCATCATGTTGTTCTGCAGCTTTGATTCAATTACATGGGCAGAGTGAGAGAAAAGAGCCCAGGTTACGTCTGGGCCACAGAGGAGAGTGCTGGGAAGAGGGCTTTATTTCAGATGCTCTTCACATTTGTCTGAACCTTTTTGTTTTACTGATGGATGAATTTCAGTCCATTTTGGATCCTTTATTGAACTAAAAATGTCAACATGATGAAAAAGTAACATAAATCCTGGAAAATAAAATAGTATTGTATATATTATAATAATATTTTCTTAAAATATAGATTTTTTTGAAATATTGTATTCAGGATTGTGTGTGATGGAGTGTGATCTTATTGGTCAAATGCATCATTTAACCCTGCTGATAGTCATTTTTCAAAAAAGGAACAGGCTGTCACCAACATTTTGACAAAGTATAAATATCATGGCTCCTTATTGACTACAAATCCTTTAAAGCTGTAATGAGGGACATCCCTGCTCAAGAGCACACAGACGGTGGTTGATAAGGCAGCAGAGAGCACTTTAGGGTCATCAGATGAACAACTTCTTAGGTGGAAAGAAATTCATAGAAATAAAATTCACCTGTGAATAGAGAAGTGAAGCTGAATTAGATGAAGTGAGATGAGTTAAATACTGAGGGTTTCTTTGAACCATGATTCCTCTTAATTACTTATATATTCAGAGAGGAGGAGGAGAGGTGAGGTTGGACAATCATGTGTCTGCCGCCATCTAGTGTTGCAATCAGTGAAATACATGAATATACAGAGACATTAAACCCCAAATTGCTCCCACACTCTTGAACGACTTTACAAATTATTTTAGTCCATTTCAGTTTTTGAAATAACCAAAATCTTTAAATTGCAAACAAATCACAAAAACAAAAATATTGCAATGCTGTGTGATATTTTTTCAGTATCTTCCATTACCTTGTCTGCACCCCCAGGAGCAGAAAATAGACCAGAATGTTATGCAGCCATGTGAGTTTGAGCGAGAGATTCTACACAGCAAACCTGAGAAACACCTGAACATGAGAAGAAAAAAAGAGCGGACTACCATCAAAGCCATCTCAGTCTTGCAGTGTCTGTACTGCTGGGAATCTCTGCTGTCTCAGAAAACAGCAAATCCCCCCACCATCTGTTTAAATTAAGATCATCCCTGTAGTCTCTCCACAGGTGTGTATGAAATAAGATGGTGAGATAAGAAGGTGCTACGGTGGTCTGTTTTAGCTACAGTGTGGGGCCTCAGCTTGACAATGGCATTTTATTGGTTTATAACTCCAACACATCAAGTGACACCAAGGAGAGTTCTAGGCTACTGTAAAAACATGGTGGTTCAACATGGCAGACTCCATAGAAGAGGACCATCTGTAGATAAAAACGGCTCATTCTAAAGTAACAAAATATATTATTTTCAGCCACACTAGCTGCTTTGTGAGGCTCAAGCTCAATTCAAACATCAATACAATGACCCAATGCAATGTTTGAAAGGTATAATGTTTGCCATGTTAGCATATCAGTTTAGCATGTTAGCATATAACATTTGCTACTTAGCACTAAAGTACAGCTGAGACTGATGGGAGTGTTATTAGCTTTAAAAGTAGGCTATATATTTTGGAAAGAAGCAAAGTATTGGACGAATTTTTTGACCGGATTATGGACGTTATTAGTCTACAATTAATGCTGAAGGCAACATGACTGCGTGTACCAAATTTATTGGCAGTTTAATAGTGGTTGAGACTCACTCAAAACCACAAATGTCGACCTCACGGTGGCGCTAGAGGAAAAGTAACCAAAAGCCAAAATTAGAATTCATCCTCTGGGGACAAATGTCATGGCAATCCATCCTTTAGTCATTTAAAGGGGAACTTGGCAACTCTATCCATTTCTTCGCTGGTTTTCA